GTGAATTGAATTAACTCTGGAGGTGTGTTGAAGTTTCATCATATCTCTGCTAATTTACGTCAAGTTGTTTATGAAGTCCTGCAGTGTTGGAAAGTGTTGCATTTTTGCAGTGGTCCGAAAAGTAAAAACTGTACCTGGCTGACATATCTCATAGGAGCCTGTGAAATTTGGTGCTTTCATGAATCTATGTGGTTAATGTTGATGTGTGCCATCCAAAATTAAGACATGAAGACACAGCTTTCTTATTGGTGGATTCATTCACAGCTAGTAACATTGTCTCTACCTTCTTTTATTTGTCTAAGAATGCCAGTATTTAACTTCTTGTCATTGTTTCAGACATCAGTATTTTTTTTTAATAGATGGTGTTGTTTCTGTCTTTATCACAATCTCCTAAACACCGTTAGTGTGCAATCTTTCATAGTCTTTGAGCCAATGAATGGTTTCTTCTTTTTTCGTGAGGACCCATGCTACAGAGAGTGAGGCTGAAAGAGCTTTCTCTTCACTTGAAACATGATCTGACCATGATAGCTTGTTAAGCTATGTACTTTGTCAGTGAGTAACAGAGCCTGGAGGAAAATTGTGTGTTGAAGTTTGAGTCCTTGGACTTGAAGTGCCTTCTCAGATTGTACTCCTGTATCACAGCACAATGCTTGTTACATGGCAACCTAAAAACATATTAGAAACTGACACTGAAATTGAAAGGAGATTCCAAAGACATTAGAAACACACTCATCAGTCCATTCTTTGTTTAACTGTCCAACTAAGCCCACCCCCACCCCCCAAAATGTCTAAATAAAATTGAAGGCATAAATTATTCACCCTCATGACATTCAAAACCCATACGTAAATGGGCAATTACACCGTTTAAGTTATGGATTGCTTTTCAGCTGTGGCAATGTCACAGTCAAGTCATTTGTATTCATGCAGCTTCATCTGATGGGACTTTCATCTGAAATTAAGTAGGTGCCACTTCCATGAAGCATAACCAATGGTGACATCATGGGAAATAAATACCAGCGTTTTGCCAGATGATTACACATGAGGATTCCAAATTTCCTTACCATTCTCCACCTCTTTTTCTACCCTTCACATGTTCACACCTTCTTTATAATCAGCATTGTTTTCTTTGTGTTGCAGGGTAATGCTTAGTCTTTACTGTGCAGTGTGCACCTTTGTAAGGGTGTCTTTGTCTGAGACTCCAGACTAGTAAACTAAATTGTTCCTAACTTTGAGTTACATGGAAGGAACTTACAAGGATGGTAATTACAATGAGTTTGATGAAAAATACCTGTGTCATAACCTTGCATTTTTTTCCCCCATTCGACTGCCTATGTCTTTTTTTTCATAGCAATATAACATTCTGTGTGAACAGCTGCTTAGAACTAGCAATATGTTCTACATTACGACCCTTATATACTGTATGTATATATATATATATATGTATATTCACACTTTAGTTTGGGGACCAGTTCTCACTATTAACTAACAATAAGATCAATAAACTTATATGTATATTCACACTTTAGTTTGGGGACCAGTTCTCACTATTAACTAACCATAAGCTCAATAAACTTCTAATTTGCTGCTTATTAATAGTTAGTAAGGTAGTTGTTAACTGTAGGGTAGGCAATTTCAGAGAGGCTAGCAATATCAAGCTAGCTTTGAAAGCATAAGAACCCACCCTCCCTGCAAATCACTCTCCAAAGCCACACCTCCTCCAAAACACATGAAAGTGAACAGGCAAACCAGAGGCTAACCAGCGACACAATGAGAGACGGCGTTGGTGGAGGGGTTTAATGCAATTCTGTCAGATTACCTCATGTCTCATTCACCGGTGACAAAACATTACAGTACAAAACATACTACTAATCACCAGAAGCGGCTTTACTGACGAGATGCGCATGAAAATTGCATTCGATTTTTTGCACAACCCTGGTGTATGCATATGGGTACAATATTATTAATCTGGTTGTATTTTGTCATTAAAGGTTAGCGACGCCACCAAATTGCGTCCAAAGGCGGAGTTCTGCTTCGGTAAGCAAGTGATGTTTCTCTCTCCATGTCACTCAGAGGATGCAGTACACGGAAGGTAGGGCATGTTAGACCATGACCCCTGACCCCGGCTATTGTTTCTGAGATCAGAGCCAGAGACAATCGCACACTGGGGGTTCTGGGACTTTACCCGGTGGAGTTAGACGAGAGAGACTCACTGTCAGGAGTGTAAATGAGCAACATAATACAGGTACTAAAATTAGTTAAACGTTGCGTCTCCTAATCTAAAGTGTATAATAAAGTATTAGTCTGACCCTCCTGGTGTAATTCTAGCCCAGTGAACACTGTTTGTTCTTTAACTTGTGATGGTAAAGTCCATACTTTTACTAATATTATGGAATACTACTGTCATAAAATTGAATCTTGATCACAGTTGATTAATAAGCTTTTTTGGAAACATAGACAGTAAGTTTCACGTGTGTTAAGTTGACCACATGAACACAGTTACTATAATAACTGCCTTATCTAGCCAGCCACACTAATGGGATGTGAGAGTTTTCACTTTTAGACTTGCACAGAAAACGATTTAACTGGATTTTAGATGTTGTTTTTGTGACTTGTAAAGACAACATTTTATAACATTTTAGCTTCTAAATTGTTACGGTTAATTAACAGTGACATTTAGAAATGAGAAGTACAATATTTCATCTTGCAGTATGTCAGTCCCACTTATCAGGAAAGTGAGTGTGCACACACACGCACACACACACACAGTTTGACTGAATCATACCTCATTAATAGCGGTTCACTTCCACAGATTAGGCCAATTGCATTCATATCTGCAACGAACCGTATCAGAGTTCACATGACCACCTTTTCAAGTGAACTCTGGTATGGTTTGCTGGTGCACGAAAGTGTTATTTAAGCATCACTGAGATACTATTATAGATTTTACTAATATTTCGCTATTTTTAATTTTATGTTTTCATTTTAGTTAAAGTTTTATTTCTTTGTTTTTAATGTCTATATAATTGTTATTTCAGTTTTAGCTTTAGGTATTCTAGTACATCAAGTTGAAAATGAGAAATAATGTTTTGGCAAATAGCATAAATAAAATTTGTTGTTGTTTAGTTTTTTTTTTCTCCAGTTAATGTTTATTTTATTTCAAGTAATGAAATTGTGTTTTTATGGTTTTAGTTTTAGTTTTATTTAACTATAATAGCCCTGGTGCGAGAGTTTGTAAAACCGTATTCACTTCATCCAACCGAACTTTCACGTCAAAGAAACCTGAATGCGCACCAGAAGTGGTAGTGTGAAAGCACCCTTCTTCAGGCCTAGAAGTAGAGGTCTTCTCGGGTCCTAAAATATGTACCCGACCCGAATCGACCCGAATCACTTCTTATTCGAACCCGAAGTGCATAAATTTTTTTTTTTTAAAGAAAAACCCAACCCGAGACAGACCCGATGATATTAGACCCGAGTCCGACCCGACCCGACAGCATTTAATTTCAAACCCAACTGGACCCGCCTCAGCGCACGCTAAGCCGGGGCTTCCCCTCACGCTAGGCTGCTGTGTTGTTCGTTGTGAAAGCAAACCTACTTTGTTTGATCTTCCAAAAGAGGACACGACTACAAATCAGTGGTTAAGTTGTATTTACCACACTGTTCCAGAACAGTTTAACCCAAATATCCAGATGTGTGCAGCACATTTTATGGAGGACTGTTTACTGATCCTGGGAGAGTAACGTTAGACTACAAGCCGGCTGTTCTGACTCACGTAAGTACGTTTTCATTTAAAGGATTTGCCACTGATGATTCAAACGCAAGTTTTTTTTTTTTAGCAGCATCATATGACCCCTTTAACATTTATTCAATTTATTATTAGGCTACTTTATATTAGTGCCTAACTGATGGATACAAGTTATTGAGCTCGGCTTTCAATTGTGACCAGTGGATTTGAAAAATAAGTTTGATAAAAAACAAATCGATAGTCTAATAATTCATGGATTCGCTAGTGTTGTCTGCAATCTGATCTCCGGCGAAAGGCTTCTGCACATAAAAAAGAAATGCCCTATATGAACAGGCAGCATAATGAAGCAAGTGGATTTTCCTTATGGATCTCATATCTATAAGATGATTTCTGTGTGCGAGGTTACAAACGTATGCACCTTTTCTATGTGTGTTCCTCACTTAACATGAAAGTGAAAGTAGCCTATGCATTTGGGATGGTTTAAAAGAATTCGGGTCTAATCGGGTCCATTTGGAAAAGCATGTTTATTTTAAATTACCCGAGACCCAAGGCTGCTAATACTGAACCCAACCCGTGTCCGAGGTACTCGTCGAAGTTTTGAACTCGAACTCACTCGGGTCTTGGGTCGAACCCGCTCTGGTTTTCAGATCCAATTGGACCCATGAAGAACTCTACCTAGAAGCACACACTTAGACAGGAAGAGATGTAATCCATTTTGTCAAATCCATAATGCCACTGAAAATGTGATTATATCATCATCTCCAAATTCTTTAAATATTAATCTTTGTGTCTTTCCACAGTCATCAACGCTGGAATGAGGAAGTTTTTCTTGCAGGCGAATGATAAGCAGGATTTAGTGGAGTGGGTCAGTGCACTCAACAACGCCACCAAAATCACAGTAAGTCCCTGACCCTGGATTAGATTCCTCTTAAAGGGTTAGTTCACCCAAAAAGGAAAATTATGTCATTAATTACTCACCCTCATGTTGTTCGAAACCCGTAAGACCTTCGTTCATCTTCGGAACACAATTTAAGATATTTTTGATGAAATATAAGGGCTCTCTGACCCTCCCATAGACAGCAAGGTAACTACCACATTCAAGGTCCAGAAAATTACCAAGATGATCGACAAAGCAGTCCGTGTGACATCAGTGGTTCAACTGTAAAGTTACGAAGCTACGAGAATACTAGAAAACAAAAATAAGTATCATGCGTATAAGTAAGTAATAAGTAAGCAGCGCTGACCCAGATCCGGCATAATGACGTCATCATGCCGGATCTGGGTCAGCGCCGGCGCCGCCGCACGCTCGGGGGGGGGGGGGGGGGGGACACCTCAAAATTATTCTAGTGGCCAAACTGAGGAAAAATATACACTTTTATGCAGTTGCTGATATTTATATGGCCAAAAAGTAAGATGAAGTTCTGTTTACTTGTAATGTAAGCTAGTGAGATATTTATAACAATATAGCAGACTACTAAATAAAACATGTATGCATATGAAAACATACAATGTAATGCAATACAATGACTGAGACAAATAAACATTCCTTAAAACCTGATGTATCATATTTAATACTTACATTTTAACACGATTTTTCTAAAATATTGATGTTTAGATAATTAAGTAAACCGATGATGCTTCAGTCAAGTAAGTGTTCATCTTAAAATATTACTTGCAATATTACTTAAAGGAACACTCCACTATTTTTTTAAATAGGCCCATTTTCCAACTCCCCTAGAGTTAAACATTTGAGTTTACCGTTTTCGAATCCATTCAGCCGATCTCCGGGTCTGGCGGTAGCACTTTTAGCTGTAGCTTAGCATAGATAAATGAATCTGATTAGACCGTTAGCATCTCGCTCAAAAATGACCAAAGAGTTTCAATATTTTTCCTATTTAAAACTTGACTCTTCTGTAGTTGCATCGTGTACTAAGACCGACGGAAAATTAAAAGTTGCGATTTTCTAGGCCGATATGGCTAGGAACTATACTCTCATTCCGGCGTAATAATCAAGGATCATTTCATTTTCCGTCGGTCTTCGTACACGATGTAACTACAGAAGAGTCAAGTTTTAAATAGGAAAAATATAGAAACTCTTTGGTCATTTTTGAGCGAGATGCTAACGGTCTACTCAGATTCAATGATCTATGCTAAGCTGCAGGTAAAAGTGCTACCGCCAGACCCGGAGATCGGCTGAATGGATTCGAAAACGGTAAAACTCAACTGTTTAACTCTAGGGGAGTTGGAAAGTGAGCCTATTTTCAAAAATAGTGGAGTGTTCCTTTAATAAAAATCAGTAAAGATTTAACAGAAAAAAGACTTGTGTACTACAACCTGAAGGGGGATGTTAGTAAAATTGTACTAAAAGGCCTTTTACTTCCTAAAAAAGTGTAATCTTTTGTACAAAACTGTGTACAACGAGTTTTTTCAGCATTGTCATGTTAATAATTTAGAGGATTTAAAAATGTGCATATTAAATATGATCCAGTAGGCTTTATAGTGTGTAGTGAAAATTAGATGAAGATTCACAAGCAAAAAAAGTTCCAGTTTCTATTGTAAGTAGCATAGCGACGTATAAAGCACAGCTCACACAAAATCACTTTCAAACCTAGCAGCTTTCAGTTGGTCAGTGTGGAAAATTCACATGACCAACTTGAATATGAACGAAATCTGCCTGCAAAATTTTGCTGAGCAGTTGTAAATATGACTTTAGCTCAAATTGGCTTTCTGCAGTGTCCGAAATGAACCCCTGTCATGCACCAAATGCATAATCATACTGTCTACGTGATTTTAAATTCTGTCTAGGTTGGCAGCTCTGTAGTTTTTCTAACAGAGATGTCTTTCTGTCTTTCTCTAGATGAAAAACTGGAAAAGGAGATACTTCATGCTGGATGACAATACACTGAGCTACTTCAAATCAGACATGGTTAGTCTCTCCCTCTCTTGCTTCCTCCTCCTGCATCTCTCCACAGCCTTGCGCAGTGCTGTTGTCCTTGAATTCTTCTTAAACCCATTGACCTGTTCAGCTCTTTGTTTTCATTGTGTTTTGCACCTGTGCGTCTGTGAGCCTGTCTATAAGCTCCCATCTGATAAGTGAAAGTCCGTCCTGTGTATTGTTCATGCCATCTGATCCTGTGTCCAACCACTTTTCTCCAATGAAGCATATTTACATATGTGCCCCCAGAATTAGACCAGTGACTCATGTGGGAGTGAAAGCTTGTGTCCAGTGGAGGCTATAAGACCATGTGTGTGTGTGTGTGTTCTGGTATATATCTCTGTGTGCGTGCGTTCGTGCGTGCGTGCGTGTGAGCATGCCTTGGTGGTTGTTTGAACTTGCTCACAGTGTTATGAATTCCTCTTGCTGTGTGTCAACAGGCTGTGTGTGAACATGTCTGTATCAGTGGTGATTGCTTTTGGACAACACGGGAAGCACATCTTCCTCTTAAATTTCGAAGAGGAACTTACAATTACATTTAGAAACAAACATAATTCTGTTATATTTAAAAATATCCGCAGGGCCTGATGCATACTTTTTATAGTTGAAAAATTTAGGAGCGCATTAAAGAACTTTAGGGGAGCAATACAGTACTGTAATAAATAGATTATTTTGCTGAGACTATTAAAATCTATATTTTGAATCTGCGAGCCTGTAGAATGCACAAGCGCTGCGGTTTTAATTAAAAAAGTGCAGCGCTCTAATTTGAAAAAAAAAATGAAAACGTGATATATCATTGTGGCTACTTCGATAAAGGCAGAAAAATATATATATATATATATATATATATATATATATATAGTACTGTAATCTATATTTTGAAACCGCAATCCTGTAGAATGCACAAGAATGGTGCGGTTTTACTTGAAAAAGTGCAGCGCTCATATTTATTTAATGAAATCATAGCCTTTTGAAGTTTAATAATCACATTAGGCTGTATCGCAATTGTTTTTCTATCCTCAAATTTAAGACCTCTCAAAATGATAATTAAGATATTTGTTATACCAGACTTTTCATGACCTGAAATTTTATAAAAACTGATTTTTTAAAAACTTTTTCAAGACCCCTGGGATTCGCACATGCCCCTAAATACATTTTACAGTTTGGACACGTTTATTTTTAGTCGCAGAATTACTTTATACTGATTGTCTTTAACTACGGTGTACTAACATTTAAATGAATCATCTGAACCAATGCACATATTATGTACACACTTGTTTTTATGCTGTACTTAGATTTAAAAAATACCATTTTAATTAATTAAATATGTATGTAATTATATATATAATTACACTTCTGACCATGCCTTATACATAACCATAATAACAAACCTGTTTGCAACCTTAACTGTGCCCCGCCTGAATAGCAACAAAAGTGTTTTGCAATACTACATGATCATAAAAAGTACTTTGTACCAAGCAATTCATTTTTTGGCATGAATACAGAATGTAAAGCGGGACCAAATATTCAATTATATTTTCTTTGTTGTAATTTCTGTATTTAAAGGGTTACTACACCCCGAAATTAAAATTTTGTCATTAATCACTTTCCCCCATGTTGAAAACCGAGAGGCTTGTGACTGTCCCATTGACTGCCAAGTAAATAACACTGTCAAGGCCCAGAAAAATATGAAAGACATCGTCCATCTGCCATCAGTGGTTGAATCTGAATTTTATGAAGTGAGGAGAATACTTTTTGTATGCAAAGAAAACAAAAATAACGACTTTATTCAACAATTTGTCTCCTCCGCTTCATAAAATTCAGATTCAACCACTGATGGCAGATGGACGATGTCTTTCATATTTTTCTGGGCCTTGACAGTGTTATTTACTTGGCAGTCAATGGGACAGTCACAAGCCTCTCGGTTTTCATTCAAAATATCTTAAATTGTGTTCCGAAGATGAACAAAGCTTTTACGGGTTTGGAACGACATGGGGGTGGGTAAGTGATTAATGACAACATTTTAATTTTGGGGTGGAGTAATCCTTTAATACTTGGAAAAGCTACTTTTGAACGCAAAATACTGATACCAAATAAAAATGTTTATATATGAACAGGCTTTTTATGCTATGATTGAAATGTGTAATGCATATTAACCCCGGGTCAAGGCCACTTGTAAGTTTTGAAAAGGTTAACACCACCTTTGACCCTGAGATATGAAGCCCTGCTCCAAATCGCAGTACTAGAGCTAAACAGCGTGAATTACTAACCCTACAGGTATAGGCTTGGGAAATTAACAGTTTCATAATCCAGAGTTGAAAGTGACATTGGGTTAGCAATTTCAGGATGCCTATATCATCACTAAACTCACTGGAGTACGGATGATTGGACAATCGATTGGCATCCAACATACGTTTCCTCTCAAATAAAGTGACTGCCATGTCTTCATGTCTGATAAAGAAACCAACATTGGCTCACTTTTTTGCTGTAGTGGTTTAAAATCATGGTAAACGGTTATAAATTGTTTTGACTGAGGCGGTAGAACAATGGAAAGTCGTTCCACTATTCAAACACACAACTTCCTGTTGAACATTTTTTGACATGTTATTTCCCACAGATTTATAGTAACCTAATTATTTTTATTCCCATGAAGTCAAGAATAGCTACTATTCTTACTAATAGAGACTACTAAACTGATCTTCTTCCTCTGACAGTGAAAATGCAATGCAATTATCAATAGGAGTTAGTCATATGTGCAAAATCTTACAAAGTCTTACAAATCTTACTGTGAATGTTTAAAGGTTTCATTTCATATCCAGAAAACAATTCTTGACCTATTTCCAATTGAGAAGCTGTTACAAATCATACAAAAACAAGTGTATTAAATCAGATCTATTTAAACTGAACCAAACCATGACCAGATTCAGATTTCCATCAATCTAAATATTGACTTATGGACTACGATCTGTGGTTCTTCAGTACTGTATTTGTTAACCACCATAGGAAAAAACACCTGTGATGTGATGTGATGTGTGTGTGTGTGTGAGGAGGGCAGGCATAGGAACGAGGCTTGGTCAAAGGCTAAATCATACAGTAGATGTCAATAAAGGCTATTTTAGGGCTGATAATCACAGGCCTGTGCACACTGCAGCATCCTGCTCGGGCCTGTACTTCCTCACTGCACACACTCAGCATGGCTGGAATGTTTGTGCAATGCTTTTTCAATCATTCACATGAAATAAAGACAATTTTTAATAGATTACTGAATTAAACTTTGTTTTTAGGAGCGGGAGCCGTTACGCGTTATTCCTTTGAAAGAAGTCAACAAGGTGCAGGAGTGTAAACAAAGGTCAGTAGTGCTTCATTTGTGGTTTGGTTTGGTTTGGTTTGGTATAGTATAGTATAGTATAGTATAGTATAGTGTAGTATAGTATAGTTGAGTTGAGTTGAGTTGAGTTGAGTCGAGTTGTTTCCAAATACACTTTGCCAAGCCCCATGTCATAGAGCTTATTGTAAACAACACATCTATTTTATTGTATTTTATTATTTGTTTTATTTTATTTATTTGATATGACCTTGTGATGTTGATTAAAATGTCATAACAGGACCTTCCTAGTGAAATTGCCAGACTTTGCTCTTGAACTAAGTCCACGTCTTAAATCGATATCCGTTTGATCAATAATCCGTTACACTCAGATATATGTCACAATAAGGAAGAAAAGATCTGTCACTACTTCTATTTCATTGTAACTTTAAGTGCATGCATTTAAATTGTGATTGATTGTGTTGGACAACCTACTAGGCACACATTGTTTTTACATCTGGGAAATCATCTGGAAAGCATTGTGCTCTACTTTAACCAACTTAACTGAGTAGAAACAACTGCACGACATTTCAGAGCAGATTCACATACATTCTGCATCATAAATGAGAAATCATCCGACAAATGACGTTCTTAGGAAACATTAGTGACGTTAGCGATATCTAATTAAAAAAAAATTTGGGATCTTCCGGATGAAAACACACACTCTGAACAGATGTCACGGTGATGTATGTGTTCTTTCAGGATAGGTCAGGCAAACGCGGCATTTCTTATATTTTTATTTACTCAAGGCAACCAAGTTTATCTTAATTTTGACATGTGACAGTTCACAATGTTTAAAAGTTCCGCGGTTTGGGACTTGGGCAGACTTTCATAATAGTGCATAAACAATAACAGCATTCCCATCATTCATCTGTGCTGCTGTGCTGTTTCAACAGCTTTTACCCATAATTCTATTGTTTCTGATATTGATTTGGGTTTTTAGTGACTTGATGATGAGGGACAATCTTTTTGAACTGGTTACTACCTCAAGAACTTTCTACATTCAGGTAGGAATGTCATGTAAGAAATTCATATTAATTCTCCAGTGGGTTTTATATTATTAGGGTGGGTCTTAATATTTAATGGTGCATAAAAAGCATTTTTCAACTATTATGTTTGAGAATAAAGTCATAACATTACAATATAAAAGTAGTAATTTTCTGGGAGAATTCAGTTATGTTATTTTTCTTTATTTTATTTTAGCATGGCACTAAAATACTGACTTTTATTTTTTTTTAAAAGAAGAAGAAGAAAATCTGAGAAATCAAGATGAAAGTATAAGAAATAAAACATTAATGGGATGAACTGATTTTTGAAAAACATTCACTGCTATTCAAAAGTTTGGGGTCCATATGATTTTAGGTTTTGTTTGAATATCTTTAAATAAATTTAATGCACCCATGCTGGATATTTCTTATAAAACAAACAAACATACTGACCCCAAACTTTTGAACAGTAGTTTAAATCAGTATTTTTTATTTTTTTTTACTGTGGTATGCAAACATTACTGTACTGAAAAGCATATGCATTTGATTTAAATGGGTGTTTTATAATTTGATTGTTTATTTTATTTTATTTTATTTCATATGTATTTACAGTATTAATATAGCTTTTAGCATTTTATCATTGGATTCGTAGACAACTTTTATTGTTGGGACAATAGTTTTGGCTGTTGTTTAGTTTTGTCACATTGCGTTACTTTATTTGTGGAGACACATTGCATCTCATCATAAATTTTATTTAAGATGGAATATAACTTTCATATTAAATTTTTAGCAACAAAAAAAACATTTTGTTTAAATAAAATAACTGGAAATCCAATTTGTGATCAGATTTTCAAAAATTGTTCCATCGACTGATAAGGTTGTAATGATACCTTTAAAACTGAGGTGGTACTTAGGCTACATTTACACGACAACGATATAGTCAAAAACGGAAAAATTTTTCCCTTGCGTTTTTAAAAAGTTTCACGGATACACGACAACGTTTTCAAAACGATTCGTGTTTATACATATCCTCGAAAATGGCCAAAAACGCTGTATTACGTATGGCAGGCCAGTAGTTGGCGCTGCCACCTTGTTAGTAAACAGTACCTGTAGGGAAGTGACAATTATATGTTGTACAGGTGCATCTCAGTAAATTAGAATGTCATGGAAAAGTTCATTTATTTCAGTAATTCAACTAAAATTGTGAAACTCGTGTATTAAATCAATTCAATGCACACAGACTGAAGTAGTTTAAGTCTTTGGTTCTTTTAATTGTGATGATTTTGGCTCACATTTAACAAAAACCCACCAATTCACTATCTCAACAAATTAGAATATGGTGACATGCTAATCAGCTAATCAACTCAAAACACCTGCAAACGTTTCCTGAGCCTTCAAAATGGTCTCTCAGTTTGGTTCACTAGGCTACACAATCATGGGGAAGACTGCTGATCTGACAGTTGTCCAGAAGACAATCATTGACACCCTTCACAAGGAGGGTAAGCCACAAACATTCATTGCCAAAGAAGCTGGCTGTTCACAGAGTGCTGTATCCAAGCATGTTAACAGAAAGTTGAGTGGAAGGAAAAAGATGTACAACCAACCGAGAGAACCGCAGCCTTATGAAGATTGTCAAGCACAATCGATTCAAGAATTTGAGTGAACTTCAAAAGGAATGGACTGAAGCTGGGGTCAAGGCATCAAGAGCCACCACACACAGACGTGTCAAGGAATTTGGCTACAGTTGTCGTATTCCTCTTGTTAAGCCACTCCTGAACCTCAGACAACGTCAGAGGTGTCTTACCTGGGCTAAGGAGAAGAAGAACTGGACAGTTGCCCAGTGGTCCAAAGTCTTTTCAGATGAGAGCAAGTTTTGGATTTCATTTGGACACCAAGGTCCTAGAGTCTGGAGGAAGGGTGGAGAAGCTCATAGCCCAAGTTGCTTGAAGTCCAGTGTTAAGTTTCCACAGTCTGTGATGATTTGGGGTGCAATGTCATCTGCTGGTGTTGGTTCATTGTGTTTTTTGAAAACCAACGTCACTGCACCCGTTTACCAAGAAATTTTGGAGCACTTCATGCTTCCTTCTGCTAACCAGCTTTTTGAAGATGCTGATTTCATTTTCCAGCAGGATTTGGCACCTGCCCACACTGCCAAAAGCACCAAAAGTTGGTTAAATGACCATGGTGTTGGTGTGCTTGACTGGCCAGCAAACTCACCAGACCTGAACCTGTCAAGAGTAATTCAAAAACTTGCACTTTGAAACCCGTTTTCAAAAATATGCATTTTCAGTCCCCAAAACACTGTTGTCATATAAACGAACAGATTACGCATAAAAAGTTTCTCGTTTTTGGCTGAAAACCCTTAGTCTCAAATGTTTGAGAGCCACTGATGTATGTACTTTCAAGCAAGAATAAATTTTTTAATTGATTGTTTTTACATGTTAAAAGTTTTAACAAAAATGAAAGCTGTCTGCATTTTTCTCTGTCTCAGTCGGACAGCCCAGAGGAGATGCACGGCTGGATCAAGGCTATCTCTGGGGCCATAGTGGCCCAACGGGGTCCTGGACGCTCAGCAGCCTCTGTAAGAATTGACTTTGTTTAGTGACATTCTGAGTTCTCAGCCGTTTTGTGCTCTTCTGGTTTGATTTGTCTTTCGTGAAGTGTTTTGTAGCCATGCATCCTGTCCATGTCCAGCCCAACCATGTTTCTCTTCAAATGTCACTCATTTATGTTTGCTGCTGGAACGACTAAAAATCCAATCTTAGAAGGATAGTTTACCACAAAATTAAACTTTTGTCATTGTCCGCTCAAAAACTGGCCCAATTTACCAGACTGCCCATTCTAGTGTATCCTCTTTGTGCCTGTCTGTCTCTCTCTCTGTTTCGTTTTTTTTTTTTTGCCATGTTGGTGCCTTATGAATGTGCGTGTGTTACAGATGCGTCAGGCCAGGCGGCTCTCAAACCCTTGTATACAGAGGTATACATCCTGCAATGGTGAACGCAGCACGTATGTGTTGAGATCAAACCCCTTGCGCTGTGTCCCTGTTTGTTTGCATCCAACCCCTGCTTAGAGTTTAGAGGCCTGTAGTCCTTAACCTAGATCTGAGCAGGGTTGAACTGCCTCGCCTAAATAATCAAGCCTACAGACAAACCAAACTAAAACCAGACCTCATATCATGCTATTGACATCCATCATCCACATTTACTCTTTTAATACACTTTGGTACATCCAAACTAAACATCTCACACATTCATCCGATTACCCACACTTCTGTCCAGCAGGGTTATTATAGTTAAGTAAAACTAAAACTGAAACTAAAATTAAAACCATAAAAGTAAAAAGTTAAATTAATAAAAATGATAAATAAATGTTAACTGAAATAAAATTAAATATACAAAAAACATTTGTTCACCTAGCTACGAAGGCAGCATTTCTAATTTTAATTGCATAATCTCATATAAAATAACTAAAACCAAAGACGAAAAAAAAATTTAATAAACTATATTTAAATATATATATATATATATATACATAGAGAGAGAGATTTATTTCCATGCCACGCCGAATTGAGGCAGTAATTAATGCAAAAGGAGCCCCTACCAAGTATTGAGTACATGTACAGTAAATGAACATACTTTCCAGAAGGCCAACAATTCACTAAAAATGTTTTTTTTTATTGGTCTTATGAAGTATTCTAATTTGTTGAGATTTGAATGAATTGTTGAATTGGTGGGTTTTTGTTGAATGTGAGCCAAAATCATCACAATTAAAAGAACCAAAGACTTAAACTACTTCAGTCTGTGTGCATTGAATTGATTTAATACACGAGTTTCACAATTGAGTTGAATTACTGAAATAAATGAACTTTTCCACGACATTCTAATTTATTGAGATGCACCTGTACAACATATAATTGTCACTTCCCTACAGGTACTGTTTACTAACAAGGTGACAGCGCCAACTACTGGCCTGCCATACGTAATACAGCGTTTTTGGCCGTTTTCACGGATATGTATAAACACGAATCGGTTTGAAAACGTTGTCGTGTATCCGTGAAACTTTTTAAAAACGCAAGGGAAAAACTTTTCAGTTTTTGACTATATCGTTGTCGTGTAAATGTAGCCTAAGTACCACCTCAGTTTTAAAGGTATCATTACAACCTTATCTGTCGATGGAACAATTTTTGAAAATCTGATCACAATTTGGATTTCCAGTAATTTTATTTGAACAAAATTGTTTTTTTTTTTGTTTTTGTTTTGTTTTTGCTGCTAAAAATTTAACAGGAAATATGAAAGTTATATTCCATCTTAAATACAATTTGAGAGATGTAATGTGTCTCCACAAATAAAGTAACGCAATGTGACAAAACTAAACAACAGCCAAAACTATTGTCCCAACAATAAAAGTTGTCTACGAATCCAATGATAAAATGCTAAAAGCTATATTAATACTGTAAATACATATGAAATAAAATAAAATAAACAATCATATTATAAAACACCCATTTAAATCAAATGCATATGCTTTTCAGTACAGTAATGTTTGCATACCACAGTAAAAAAAAAAAATACTGATTTAAACTACTGTTCAAAAGTTTGGGGTCAGTATGTTTGTTTGTTTTATAAGAAATATCCAGCATGGGTGCATTAAATTTATTTAAAGATATTCATACAAAACCTAAAATCTTATGGACCCCAAACTTTTGAATAGCAGTGTATGTTTTTCAAAAATCAGTTCATCCCATTAATGTTTTATTTCTTATACTTTCATCTTGATTTCTCAGATTTTCTTCTTCTTCTTTTTAAAAAAAATAAAAGTCAGTATTTTAGTGCCATGCTAAAATAAAATAAAGAAAAATAACCTAACTGAATTCTCCCAGAAAATTACTACTTTTATATTGTAATGTTATGACTTTATTCTCAAACATAATAGTTGAAAAATGCTTTTTATGCACCATTAAATATTAAGACCCACCCTAATAATATAAAACCCACTGGAGAATTAATATGAATTTCTTACATGACATTCCTACCTGAATGTAGAAAGTTTTTCCAACTTTTCCATGACATTATAATTTATTGAGATGCACCTGTATATATATGTATATATATATACATACTATTAGTCTGTATATGTACTGATTCAAAATAATAATAAAAAATGTAATGGTATCTCAGTGATACTAAAATAAAACTGCTGTCTAAGGCTCAGTAAAACATCTATTTGATAACAGTGATTTACAGTGAGACATTCTGTAATTTACTGAAGTAAAAGTCTATAGCAAAATCAGAATTGATAATTTTTTTAACCTTTGTAATTAACTTCTTATTTAAAAATATATATTTCGTATAATTAAAATATTTTTATAAAAGTAATTAAAATGTATGCAATTAAGACAATTCACTATGCAAATATCAAAGATGTTTACATTGAGACATTTATATTGTGAACTAAATGCATACTAAATGTGTAGGTTAAAAATAAAGTTGGTTTATATGATTTGAGAACGATCTCACAATATTCATTTTTCAAGTATAAAGTTAAGTTTTGAGAATAAAGTCATAACATTATATTCTGGGAGAAGTCACAATTATTTATGAAAATTGTTTTTGTATGATTTGTTTTCTCATAAAACTTTACTATTGCATAATTAGTTTATTCGCAAAATTCTCAAATGTTCTTTATTTTAACTTGGCAATAAAATGCTGACTTTTATGAATTTTTTAAAGCAATAAAGATATAAGTAAGCTAAATAAAGTATTACAATTATGAAGTGATTTGATTGAAGAAAGACAATTTAGTATGCAAATAGATGTAATAGATGAAAAGAAAGAAGACCAATAATAGTTTAGTTTGTCAATATTACTGAGACAATTATAAAATACGTGATTATGAAAGATAGATGGATGAATATTACGCTGGAACACATTCTTTCAGTTCGAGATTTTCTAACTTTAATCGTAGGTTTATTAGAAAAATAAACACACTGAAAGGTTCTAATTAAGGCTGAATGGAGTTTGTATGTGTATTGGTTCGGGCTGAAATAATTTTAGAAATTTGTGGAGAGGAAGAATAATAATATAATGTATTAGAGATATCCGTACAGTGCTGCATGATGTAAAAGCCATGATTGAAGATTGCCAGCACAGCAGGACATTATTTACTAGTGAGTCCACACTGATTCATAAAAATATTTAATAATCTCTTTACAAAAACATTTCCATTTGTCATCTATTAGTTTAGTTGACAAATGTTATAAGTGTTTATACACAGCGAGTTATTTCAATAAACTGTCAACATGAGCACCATCTGGAAATTATTAATTCAGTATAATAGATGTAGTACTCAATTGTTAAACTGCAAGTTCGTATTGAACTTCACGTAAGAACTCTTGAATATAATTTGTTGAGTTTGAGATTAAACTGAAATATAATTATCAAATCTTAAGTAAATGATACTATTACAGATAATAAAGATGGCCCTTATAAACCACCTATAAAAAGTTGCACCTATATTTGTAATTCATACATTACCCAAATGTTGACCCATCCAGATCTCTTGTCAGGCTGTTTTTTTCCCCTCCACCTTCAGGTCATACAGTTTGAACAGGAAAAAATGGTGCTTAGTTCTTCAAATATTTAGGCTGTGCTTTGTTGTACACAGTTTGTAAGTTTAGGTCTTTGGATATTTGGCTGGAATGGCCAAATGGTCATAATCAATGTTTCCTCTAAGCTGCGCGTGTGCTGTGACGCGCGGCCAATATGGCGGCCGTGCACTTCTTCAGTCGCGACCGCGCAGAAGAAATAATATGCCGTGCACATGCAAAAAATTTGTTGGTTAAGCCATTTGATTGAAATCGGGCAAACCGCTATAGAGTTGGTGTCGTTATAGAGTAAGAACCAGTGAATGCGGTTTACAGGTTTCATGAAGAGAATGATGTGCGCCAAATCAGGCGCTGTAGAAATCGAATACTTTAATGGTTGCGGACGAAATGGCTCAACATGAGAGCTAACACAATGAAATAGCGGATGATGGGCTCAGAACGGTAACAAAACTGTGAGACACGTACACCATGTCTACACCGGACGGGAGCGGTGCGGCGCGACGCGACTCAATTCATACCTTTCAGTCACATGACCGGCTCGAAAACTTGGAGGGCAAAACATCCATAGAACTGCAGCACAAGCCTGTCAGTTTTCCATCTGTTTCCCAGCCACAAATATTTAGATCACCTCTCAAAAGAATAAAACAAAGGTATGTGTGAACAAAATGCAGGTTTTAGCCATTTGCAATCCATATTAAGCACCCGCGGCAATATTTCAATCATTAAACAGTGCGACAAAACGTTGTAAAAACACTTAAAGTGCCTTAATATATTTGAAACAGTAATACTAAAAGATCAAATTCAGTAATCACCATATTAATGATGCATAGTTTACATAGGCAAGCAGATGAGGCCGGAATATGAACGCAATCCGCTTAATGGTTCAGTGTTTTCCTTATAATGGTTTTCTATGGGAAACTATTTAATATGAAACTTTGCACATTGTGTTTATATTCTGGGATCATCTGTTTGCCTGTACAAAATATACATCATCAATAAGGTGTTTACTGAATTTCGCCTTTTAATATCTGCGTTTTACTACTTTACTACTTAATGCAATCAGCATAATAATAACTGGAGGTCAGTGGAGCCAAAGACTATAGAACAGGGATCCTCAAATCTGGCCCACGAGGTCCACTTTCCTGCAGAGTTTAGCTCTAACCCTAATCAAACACACCTGAGCATGCTAATCAATGTCTTCAGGATCATTAGAAAATCACAGGTAGCTGAGTTTGATCTGGGTTGGAGCTAAACTCTGCAGCGCATTGGACCTCCAGGGTAAGATTTGAGGAACCCTGCTATAGAATTTCCAAGACATGTCACTCGTATAGTTTTGAATGGGGAAAAATGCAACGCTCAGTATGGCGGCTCAATCACAGGAAGCCCCGCCTTCTGAATGAAAGAGCCAATTCGCTAATTGGTAAAGTCAGCACGTCACTGCAGCTGCCGTTAGAAGTCCCGGTTGCTATAGAAACAGTCAGCGTTTTGAGACGTGTGCTTAGGACTGGCTGATCTTAGCCTGAAAAATACGCTTTTTATAACGCTATTTGTGGAAAAGAAACAACATTTATGACACCGTTGTTGTCAGATTTCTTTGGTGATTTCAAATATGAAATTTAATCGTAAGCTTAGTGAACAATTTTGGAGGACTTGATGTTTCCCCATTCAAAGAGATAGGAGTTGCACTTGAATGCCCGAGAGGCATTTCAAAGATGGCCGCCGAGTGACATGACTTGTCTTAAAGGGGCTTTGGTGGAGCAAAGCTTCGTTTTGCCCACCAGGTGGGCGTTCCTATAAGGGTGGGACGTCATGTGAAAACTATCAATAGGCTACTATAGAATTATAATCAGTGATGCTGTCTACACTGGATGCTGCGCCGCAACAAGACAAACCCCCGACAGTAAACTGATGCCTCGTTCTATTTATGACGTACTGACACAAAGTTCAAATGATTTGCAACAGTCGCTTACAGATCCGAGTTTAAATGCTTCAGTTTGTTTTTATATTATATTATATTGTATTATATTATAAAAACCTAATAAATAATTCATGAAAAAGGGGAATTCATGAGCAATATCTGCTTCATTTTTTTCATATATTATATTGTATTATTATAAAGAAATGAATTTTCTGCGTGAGATTTTATAAAAAAATAACACTATTTCTTTGTAACACAGCACTGTAAAAAAAAAAAATTCTCAGGTAACTTAAAATGTGCATAATTTAGTTACATTAAGGGTCAAATCAAGTATAAATAGCACATTAAAGTTAAAAGTTGCGCACCTTTTGTGCACACTGTGCAGGTCTGGTATAAAGAATGTTTTTGCTCAGGTGGCCGAAATGTCCGCCCAATAGAGAAACGTTTTGCTCAGCAAGAAAAAAAATTAGAGGGAACATTGCATGGTCATAATTACTACAGTCACAGTTTAGTTTGGGGACCAATTCTCATTTATTAACTGATTAATTGATAAACTGCTAATTTGCTGTTTATTAATAGTTAGTAAGGTAGTTGTTAAATTTAGGTATGGGGATGGATTAAGAGATCTAAAGTCATACAAAGTAAGGCATTAATATGTGCTTTATAAGTACTAATAAACAGCCAATATGCTAGTAATATGTATGCTAATTAATAGTGAGAATTGGTCCCTAAACCATTACTACCAACATTTTTTTCATTAAACATATTATCAGATCTATCATATCATTTTGTATTCATCATGTTTGTTGCCCACATTTTACTTCCATTTACTCACAGTTTGCAATCCATTTCTTAACCTCTCCTGCTTTTCTTTTAAAATATTTGTTGATGTTTATTACAGGACATTATTAAAATCAAGGCAAAATATCATGAGTCATTTATTCCTTTTTTTATTTTTATTTTTATTCAACTCTCTTTAAAATAGTGGCGACTCTAGTCATACGTGTCTAGGAAAAGCTGTTTTAATCTGTCATGTTGAGGTCACATCACCAGCCTTGTAATTTGACAAAACACAAATTTCACATGAACATATTATGAAGATGAAAAAGCTAGCAAAACATAAATAAAAATGACTTCGTGCACCATTTAAGGGAAAGTTCACCCCCCCCCCTTCATAATTTACTCACCCACATGTTGTTGATTTAAATCTGCTTAAAAAAAAGAAAGTCATACAGGTTTGGAGTGACAAAGGATGAGGAAATTATGGCAGAATTGTTATTTCTTGGTGAGCTATACCTTGTGAAAAAGAAGTTAGTCATATTTCAAAGATATAATTATGAAATTACATATCAAAATTGTACTTGAGTCCTACTGAAGTGGGTCAAAAAAAGCACAAAATTGAGCTAATTGTATTTAATATACACTATAATTAATATGCATTAAATTCATATTAACATTAATATTAACATTAACATTAAATTCAGTTTGCACTTAAGCATGTTCTTTTTAAGTATATTATTTCCATAATAATTGCTCTTTTTAAAAGAATGCTAAAGTATACTTCTTTTTCACAAGGGATTTCATTAATGTTAAGGCCTGTTCACACCAACACAAATGTTTGTCACAAAAATTCAGTCTGTTTTCGCTGTTTTTGTATAGCGTTTTTGCTTTTCTGTTCAGGTCAATGAAAGAAAATCACACCGTTGTTAACAGGCCTTTAGTTTTGAATTTACGAATATTGAAAATGAGTACAGTCTCCTCAAAGCTTTTTATTTAACTTGCCTTTATATGTTATATGATATGAATCCTTGTCCTGTCGGTTTTTGTCCGCGCTTTCGTCGGATGCTGTTTTAGCTGATGTCCACCTCTCATTTTTTTCCCTTTCAGAGAATAAATGTGACGCTGAGACACTAACAACCCAAAAACAAGCCCTTCTTCTGCACTACCAGCTGTCCTGTTCCTGCTATATCCCAGAATGATCTACACCCTCCTATCTGCTGTAGCTTTCACTGCCACTGCTCGCTGACATGACTGCCACCCATGTCCTAAACCGTACTAAACTTCCTGCTGTTCCTCTTGCTTCACCTGCTCCTTGTTCTTGAGTTTTTTCTTCCCTTTCTACCAAAGCAGTTTTCTCTGTCCTGACCGATGGTGCGTTCTGTAACCATTCCTCAATCTCCACAGGAGCACGCTGAACGAACCTCAATCTTCTACTCCAACGAACAGAGTCTCTCAACTCCTCGCTCACCCCTCCCCACCGGACTCCATTACCCAGAATGTTGTTCCCCCTCGGGCCCTCAGCATGGCGTGGGAGGGGCCAGACCTGAACAACCTGAGGCCGGGGCCACAAGCGCGCCTGTCGCTCCAGGAGTCGCCCCAAATCTTCTTCAAGTAAACGCTGACAACTCGTCGCCATGGCAACTGAGAAGTGGCATAGCCCAGCCTCCGGATTGCCCAAAAGATGAAGACATGCATGTTACCCAGGTGTAACGACGTACTTGGTATTTTACACACACATATTACAAATTATTAATGTCAAATGCAGGACTGGGACTCGGGAAGATTGTGAATCGAGCCCAGTGCACCATGGGATATGGAGTTTTCCCTGATCATTCTCAAGTCTCTTAAAGAACTGCACACTATGAAATAGGTTCATAATCTAGAGAATTCATTGAGACTCAAAAAAGTTACTGATACCAATAGCCGATTATTTTCCTGTTACAACCAATAACCAATATTGTGGTTGATATTATGAATCTATTGTTTTTAAATCTAAAGTACCATGTAAGCAAAGTGAATTCAGTGAAATCAGGCATGAAAACACTCAATGTACAGTAGAAAGTATGGACATTTACTTTTGCAAGACTATATGGTTTAAACTGGAAGATATATTGTTTAAATAAAATAAGGTATTTATTTTTATTTAAAATATATACATAATAAAATAACTTGATATTAAGATATTATTAATTTTTTTTAAAATCCAGTATTGACCTTATCAGACTGATACTGACAAATACATTTAAACAAAATTATGCTACATATTGCTGATACCAATGAGGCCACTAATAATCCTTAAATTCTAGTTTGTTTCATTTGAATTAATCTGGTGCTTTTACATCATTTTTTGGGGGGGGTACAGTTCAGACTTTTGTCCTAAAGTAACATATTCCATCCTTAGATGCCATTGGGCATTGGTGGTCTTGTTTTTATTGGTAATTTTCTTTGTTTGAATGTTTAATGTATAAATTGAATTGGACTTTTTGTTTGACCACAACAACAACAAAAAAACATGGTTGTACTGATATGTTTTGTATTGCTGTAGAGAGAATATGTGTTGTGTGTTATATTTCAGTGTAAAACACACTGCCACTCTTTATGGTATGTTTCTGACTAGGGCTGTGCGATATTGAAGAAAAATGCGATATGCGATACCTTGTTAAATAATGCGATATGCGATACGATAGGTCTATTGCTTTAAGTTTTAGAAATCAATTTAAATCATATTTTAAAAATATTTAAAAACTGAAAATTATATAATCTATAATAAAAAAATATATATATATATATTCCGCTATGCACAAGATGTTCATAAATGCTTGTCATGTTTGGAAGATGTTTGACACGTGTTGCTTTCCCCCCCCCAAAAAAAGCAACTAAAACTCGTAGTGCTTTCAGATGGAGCAACATTTACTACTGATCACAGAGCCGTGCTTCACTGACAAGCTGCGCGTAACAGCCTTCCTGATTTCATACTCGCACTAAACAACAGGATTTAATCGTGAGTTTGATTCTATTTCAAATAATTGTGTAGCTCCACTTAAGACATAACCGACTGTGTTTACATGAATAGGCTACTCGTCAAGGCAGGCATTTTGACATCTGTGTGTGTATTTTTGACTGTTCGAGTATCGCACACGCTTCAGGTGTGTCAGACAGCAAGGAGTTGTTTTCTGCAACATATTGCACTTAATAACTCTTTTTAGCGTCAAGCACATACTGTATGCGTCGACCTAAAAACTTTGACTTTTCGCAACGTTTTGAAGTAGCCTATTATTAAAATAATTCAGATATTGCATGCCGTTGTGATATGCACATCGTGATATGTACAATACGATATTTCAATATATTGTGCAGCCCTGTTTTTCTAACTCACCATGTGGCAGCTCTCTTTTGGAAGCAAGACTCTATTTAGTGGCACTTGTGTTTGTCAGATGCATGTGAATGTATGACTGTGTTTCAACATACAAAAACACTCCAGACATGTTTGTTAAAGGTGGGGTAAGCGATTTCTGGTAGCCAATGTTGATATTTGAAATCACCAAAACAAATACGCCCCTACCCCAAAAGGGTCTCGCCCCTATTTTGATAGCTCCGCCCCACACATACGTACGCAACCCAGGCAACGATTAGTTCTGTGAAACAAAGCAAAACCAATGTTACACCGTGTCTACACCGGACGCGAGTGCCGCGGCGCGACAAAATACTATAGAACTCATTATAATCAATGATGCTGTCTACACCATAGATATATATACATATCTATGGTCTACACTGGATGCGGCGCGGCACGACACGACAAATCCCAGACAGAAAACTACTGCATTCTATTTATGACGTATTGACAAAATTTCAAATGATTTTCAAAGGTCGCTTTGTCCAGTGTACTAGACAGACTTTAGTTGTTGCGGCACAGACACGGTGTTACTCACCTATCGAGAAGAAACAAAACAACCTCGGCGTCCGATCGCAGGCCTTCCACTCCTTGAGTTCTCTCCAGCGCTGGCAAGTTGATCCGATATTTACACGGGTCCTACTTCTTGCCTTATTGCCTTAAGCCTTCTTTGTTCCGCAGATGGTTTCCTCTTTTGTTTTTTTATCCGCCATCTCTATCTTTCTGTCGCTCAGCTCACTAATGTCCATCCAGTGCACTGAACGCTCTCTCCTCCACATCATGAGTAGACACGCCCCTTACTGCTGATTGGCTACAAGTTTGTTTTGCTACTCAGCCCGAATCAGTTTTCTAAAGCGCTTTTGAAAAATCGCTTGCCCCACCTTTAAAGAGGTTCAATTTGTTAACATTAGTTAATGCATTACGTAGGTTATCATGAACTTGATGAATAATAATTTTACTGAATTGAGATTATTATTAATTTATTAATATACTATTATTAATTTATAATTCACATTAGTTCAGTTAATATTTGTACTTGAAATGTTTTTAGGTTTCCAACTTATAACAGTAGAACATTAATCAACACTGTGAGTATTGTTTATTATTAGTTCATGATACCTAATGCATTAAAAAATGTTATCGAATTGAACCTAAAGTATCACTGTAACAAACCACAGGCATCCACTAAATGCAGCTGTATGGACCCTTTTCACAGACTGTGATGATATTTCCACAATTACAATGTACACAATGTACATTTATAACACTATACTTTGTTTTATATTACCGTTTTAAATTACAGAAAGCTAGTTAACACTGCAACATGAGTGTTTGTAATACAACAGCTGAGGGAGAGACGGTAAATTTGACATGCTTCTCTCTTCTGACTGCTGTAGTCAATCTCTTTATATGTATATCCTGTTTTGTAAAGTTATAGAAATGCTCTTTTGCTATTGCTATCACAAACATGTGAAAAGGGTCCATATGCATTAGTATGAATGTAAACAGTCAGTGACCCCAATGATTAATACCGTATATTGTTTTCTTGTGGATTCAGACATGGCACCATGTTTTTTGATGTGTAATGTATGTAGTTGTCCTTGACTGGAAAAATAATAAATTTTTGAAATGAGTCAATAATGTTTTTGCTTTTCTTTTAGGGTTAGGGTTTGATTCAGGTTTAGTCGATAATAATCAGAATTAACTTTATATACATACAAAAGAAGTATTACAGTTACTAAGTAAGTGTGTGTGTGTTTTTGTGTTTGTGTGTTTGTTACTTAACCATAATTTGGGGACAAATTTGTCCCCAGAATTGAGCCAAACCTGACAAAACCTCCTTTTGTGGATGTCTTCATTTGTTAAAACATATAAAAATAAAATTAATTCAGGAAATGTTCAGTTAGGATGTAGGATTTATAATTATCTTAGTATAAAGAAGTTATTACTTTGCAGACATTATTATTGTCTGTAATGTCTGTCATAAGTTTGATTTGGAAAAGCAATGCCCTGAAACTGCCAAGATGGATGAGCCTACTGCACACTGCTGACACGCACTACCAGTCAAAAGTTTGGAATTTCTATTTATTTGTTTATATTATATATTATTACAATTTAAAGTAGCTGTTTTCTATTGTAATATAATTTAAAATCTAATTTATTCCTGTAATGGAAAAGTTGAATTTGATCCTTCTAATATGCTGATTTGATGTGCAATTATTATAAATTATTTTTTGTGCTAATTTATTAATATTAACTTACTATTATCAATGTGATAGAATAACAGAATTTAATGATTACTTTATTAATAGATTAGTTTACAAAACAGATTTTATTTAAAATATAAATCTTTTCTATCACTAACTACTGACACATTTGATGAATCTAATGGTGTCCTTGCTGAATAAAAGTATTAATTTATGTTTTTTTTTTATGATGTCTGAAGGATCATGTGATACTGAAGACTGGAATAATGGCTTTTTCTTTTAAAGATTAAATACAGTAACAAATGTATTGCTCATTGTTAATGTTAGTTAATGCATTAACTAATGGGATATTATTGTAAAGTGTTATCATATTTCTGATCATAAAAAATGTATGTAGCCTTGGTGAGCATAAGAGACTTATTTTAAAACATTTAAAATATCATTGCAAACTTTTGACCGGTAGTGTATGCACTTAATTATACAGTAAATATTAATATGAGAATATAACTGATTATTAACAGAAATTGATTTAAATATATGACAAATTTTCATAAGGAACACTTTAACATTTGATATACATATATTACGAGGTCTCATCCACCGGCTGATTTGTTTTTTGATACTGCAATTACATTTACAATAAACAGGAAAAATTCATAGCATTAAATAAATAACCATGTATGTTAACGTGTAAGATATAAGGCTGGATAGTCAGATTCTTGATATAGAACTGTGATTACTTGGGTAATATTTGCTCACTGAAATCAGATGATTTATTATTCGATATATATGCTATACAATATGTTGGCGTGGTGGTTTCAATGTTATGACAATGTTAGGAATTTGTGTGATTGGAAGTTTTACACGAGGACCAACAGAAAGCGGTTTGATTTGAGAATGGCTTCTCTGTGAGCAGTGCAATACATCGATACAATACTGACAATGTAATGGAGGGAACACAGGAAGCGTGCGGATCCATCTGCAAGGCTTTATTCGCAAGAGACGTGGTCAAAAACAGGCATAGGTCAGACAATGGCAAACAGGTATATTGATGGCAAGGCAAGAGGGATAATCCAGGTACAAGGCA